GTTACAAACATGCAAATGCATATATGTTTTCGACCACTGGGTAAACACTAGTATATATGTTACGGGCAGTGTTGTAAATTGCACACTGACGATATTGACCGGACATTAACGCCAGCAGAATGCCTAATCAAGTAGGAGATTTACGAAAAGGACCGGCCAATATCGTTAAAGACCGAAATATCTTTGACCGTAACATATATAAAATGATAACTAGTAGATAAAAACAAACAGCTAATAGCGATCGTGGCGAAACCGGTAACGATTAGGCGTTCAATGGCGTGTTCTGAACCCAAAAAAACGCCCTGTGGTCAAATTATAACATTTTTTGTCAGTTCATATTACTTATCATCCAGCCTTGTATATAACGTATATTATAATGTATATAACTTGTTTACACTTTCAATATAACTAGACATGTTGACAAATGGAAGCAAAATTGAATAAACAAACGTTCTACCCCGTTAGGCTTGAAAAGTTCACGCTTTATCCTGTTTAGTCTGGCTAATACGCAAAACTAAAACATATTCAGTTTTATCATAGGAATCTGGATAATTCGTACTCCTGCCCGAATTAGCTAATTTCTAGTATTACCCGTAACATACCCAAATAGCACTGGATATAAGTCGCATATACCAAGTATATTTTAAATATATATTTGTCACAATAAATTAATAAAACTAACTATACTAATTCAAAAGTTTTAATATTATGTTATCAAATCAGGGGGTTATATACATAGGCGCTTTGATAGGCGCCGATTTTTGTTTGTTATTATTATTGTCAATGCTTATTTTGATTCGCTTTTTAAAATTATTTTTTACATAACTTAAAATCTCTAAATTAATAATAGCAAACGCATCACGAATGCAAGTTTTTATATATTCAGCGATAGTCGGATGGGTTTAATAAAATATATTTTTAACATATCCCTTAGATAAATGAAACAACAGATGATGTATTTCATTTATAAAGTATGTTTTGTTTGGTCCCAATCATCGGAAAAGAGAAAGAAGATATTTTATGCGGATCGAAAGAAGACAGACTACAATCGAAAATCTCGTCTGGCAACGCTGCTGTTGTACGTAACTAAAAGTCTGTTAATACCAGTGGCGTATCTTATTAAAGATAAAATCATAACTAATTAAAAAAAATGAAATACTAACCGATATGGTGTGCAATAAACTTTATAATGGTTTAAACTTTAAAACCGATTGGATTTGGTATAAGGGTATGAAGTTCAGTGGAATGTGGGAAAAAAGCTTAAAAAGACTATTTTTTCCAAGAATAATACAGTTATTATATATAAAGATGTTAAATAAAATAAAAACAAGATAAATAAATCAAGATTTATTTTAAACAAATTTACGAATTCAATTTTGGGGTTAAAATTTGAACAGTTTTACAAATTGGTAAATGAGAGATTTTTAAATTAAAATTTAGATTTTTAATACTACTAAATTTATAAAAGTTATTAAATCAATAAATTTACCATACTTATATACAAGGTGGGGATTTTAAATGGAACGCTTCTTATAGCGGATCTGGTAATAAGAATTTTGTAAAATCCGAAAACACGTAGAACTGTACAACAATAAACCTATCCATTGATAGTTTTTAACTTGTAAAACTAGGCAGTAAACTAACTTACTTATTATCATCCATAAATGTGTGCGGCATAGATAAATTATCTTCTGGTTTCTTACTAGAGCTGTCAAAAATACTGATACTGGAATCAGAGCTGTAACAGAGTATTCAGAACTTTTAATGTAAGTATACATTTTGATTAATAATAAGGTAGTTCATGAAAATAATCAAAGAAAGAGGCATGTAATATGAGTTTATAAAAAAATCTGTCCTTGTAAAGCACCTACAAAATTTAAAGAACTTACAATATAAAAATTTATAAACTACCAACTTTTATCTTAAAGGATAAACACTTAAATGAACATTTCCGAAACATAATTAAGAAAGTTTTTAGTTACCTAAATGAGCTTTCTCGAAACAATGAACTTAGTTTCGACAGTGCTCCAGGCTTGTGATATTTGCTTTTTGAAGAATATCATTAGGATCAAAATGCTCCTAGCAAACACTCTTTTTTAGATACCTTCATTTTCTTCAAGTCCTACAAGTGATAGCCAAATATTTCTTGTATGCCTTTCAGTTGAGAATCTAAAAATCAAGCATAAGCATATTTATTTTACCACTAAAGTGTTTCTATTAATTACAATTTTTTGCAAAATTAATAATGTTGAAAGATCAAAGAAAATAACAGTAATATAAAAAGTAGATAATACATGTGATATTACGGCAAAAAATCTTTAAATCTACACCACTGAACTATGCAATACATGATCACCTAACCTTACTTACTTACTTATGAAAAGATACTTCAGCACCCACATTTTCCAGTTTTTTGCTCAAAATGCACTCGCGAACCATGTTGTTAGCTATACACAAGCCGAAATTTTTCCAAAAAAGTCTAAAGATTAACAAAAACACCCAATATGCAACAATTTACTGGATCGCAACGTCGCAAACTATCGATGGATAAAATACTATTCGCGATTCAAGCTAAGTGATACGCCCTCTGGAGGAAATTTGTAGAAGGTCCGTATAAGTAGGATATCGTTCAGTGTTGCCAGAAGTAGCAAAACTTCGCTACGTCGTCAGGTTTTAGCTTTTGAAGAAGTGGATAAGACCTTTTATTTAAAAATCAAAATTTGTGTGTGGTAATATGTAATCATACTCTATATTTATTTAAGGATTTTTTTATAAAACCGATTTATTATATTGATTTTTTTTAAATTTCAGTTCATTTATTAATTTTGTTTTAAAATCAGTTGATCATTTGACAACATTGGCGTTCGTGTTCATTGTTTACATTTTAATTTGTATCAATTACAATTCGAGTTTTTTCTTACTTTTTAGCTTTAAATTTGTTTATTTCTTATAGTATGTGATAGTGTTTATATTAAAAATAAAATCTGCGAAAACGTCCCCAGAAAATTGCAATCTATATGGAGTTAATGTCAAAATCAAAACTGAAGTATTCAATATTTTCCAAGTGCAAGTCGTAAAATTTTGTTTTTCACGATAAATGAATATCTACAAATTCACAATATTGAAATTTTACAAAACTTTGTTTGTAATCAAACTGTAATCTGATTTGTGGCGGTTTTATTACCATTTACATGTATACAAAGTACTACATGATTCACTTCATAATATAAGAATAAGTCTAGTAAGATTTTTAAATAAGTTCATCAATAATAAACGTGTGGTACCTGGAATGTCCTTTAAACCACATAATAAAACAAGTCCTGGGTTTAGTGAATAAATATTTCTAGATGTTCTTGTAGCAACCAATAGGTGAATATTTCCAACAAATAAATCATACACATGATAAATATTATATTTATGACGAACGCACGGGACTTAAACTTAAATTAACAATAAATGAAACTCAGAAACACTATTTCAATGAGAATATTATCTAAAAACAAAGTTATTTTAAATTGCGGGGGTGTCACGTTTAACGCTTTTAAAATCCTTGCATTTATTTGCAGGAATAATAATGGTGTTTGCCATAATTTATCTAAGTATTATTTGCAAAGTTGTTATTTAGCAAGCGTATGTATGTAAAAACGATAGCTATAAAAATGCCCTGCCTAATGGTGTAAAAATAGGTGCTGCTAAAATATCAAGTCTGCTGAAAGCAGTTAAACTAGATAATCTACTTTGTACACATTTTATACGTTTCTTGTTATGTTACAAGTCATTTTATTTAGAGATTTACTATTAGTAATGTTTCCAGAAATATTGCAACATCTTGGCCTCTAATGTGTCGGAGTTGGAAACACTGCACTAGGTATGAAAATGAATTGGTGGGAACGGTTGATATGTCGCAATATATCTCGAAACTATTCTAATTAATAAAACTTGTTGGTATTAGTGAGTTATAGGTAAAACCTATTTTTAAATATGAAAGGAATAAACTACACAGCCTGACAACAGCGCACAAGGAAACGCATATCGGTTCATTTACGAAATAGCTACGCGCTACGTTTCTTTGCAATGTATGACCGGATTTTAAATGTAAATAGAGGAGCTTTGACATATCCCCAAATGAAAAAATCGAGAATGGTCAGTGAAGTGATCTAGGGTGGCAATTAGTAGAGCCTTTTCCTCCTATCCCTTTTTTGAGAAATTTTTGGTTTAAATATGTTCTGACATTATACGAAAAATGGACAGGAGCACCAACTAGCTGCAGTCACATTTTTTGTCTAATATCCAAAGGAATATCCTCTGTATGGTTCCAGATATCTTTCTTCTTTTAAAAATATTATTCCATTTAGATAGATTTTCAAAAAAGTTTGGCCTCCTCCAACTTTCTATCATTCTACTATAAACGTTTAATAGTCCAAGCGGCGACCGCCGTAAAAAGGTGGTCAACCAGAATAAGTACAAAAATATATTTTATTACTTTTTGGGTATTAGATGAATAACAAACCATCGATCTGGTAGTGTATGACTTGTCCAATTTTTTTTTTTATTAAATTTGTATTTTATTTTTTTTTAAATTGATCTACATAACTCAAACATAATTTTTTAGTTTACGATGGCGTTTTGACCAGATGCATATAGAAATTTAAGTCTGGCGTTCTTATTCTTGACGCAACTGTTTGTCAGACCACCCCCAACAAAGTAATTACAACAACAAATTTTCTATACAAGGTATAAGAAAAAATCAAACGTCAAAATTTTTATTTTTGATTCCTCTTTCGAATAAAATTGGTCTGGCACGTTCATACTTGACCAAAATTCTGCCAGACCAAGATTAAGCAAGTTCTTCTCTACTGTTTGAAAAGTGCGAGTTGATTTTGACATAATTGACGTCATTCAAATCTTAACCTGTTTAATTCGCCAAAATGTGATGTGCGTGTTTTTAAATGACATTTACTTAGCTAAATAATTAAATAATTTTTTATTGATTTAGAAAAATGAAATGCTTTATCTGTAATATCACTAATAGCAAGGAGAAAGTATTATCGTTTAATGCTGATACATTTCAAAGATGTTTATTTATTGAAATAAGAAAAAAGAATCATTTCAAGTACGGTGATTTAATATTAATACCTGAACTTCAAAAATCTGCCGGTTATTATTTGAAATGTTACCGTAATCTGGTTGCTGTAAAAAAATCTATGGTTGACGAATTTAATAAATCTTCACAAAGAGTTAATACAAATATTGAAAAATTTACTAACGTAAGTACATATATTTTCTAAATAATTTTAGGCTGAACCAAATATTTCTTCCAATTCAACTGATTTTGTTACCGATTCTGCTGGTTCATCTCAAATACTGCCATTATCACTATCAGATGAATATGTGGATAGTTGGATAAGTCTATTGGTAAATTAAATTTATAATTATCTTTTTTATGAATTATCTTCTTTAGAATATTTTATTGATCATGACAATTTTTAGCCGGAACAAAATACATCATCTACTACATTGGAATCTGAGACAGAACAGAATAATAATTCAACTGATGTTTGCATTTTTGTTCATCACAAACAAGCTATTAAATAACATTAAACTTTTTGCAAATGGTTTGGATGACTTTGAATTATTGGAGAAACTCAACAATCGCAGAGTACTTGTCTATCATGCAATTTGTAGAATACGATACCAAAAACAATACGAAAAAACGTTAGATGTTTTAACAGAAGAAACAAACTGGCATAAAGTTAGAGAAATACATATAGACGCACTAGAAGCAATTTTGCAATTTATTGAAAAGGAAATTATCAACGAGGAAAAAGTATTTTATTTTTCTGACATATTTAAATTTTACAAAGCAATATTTATTGAAATAGCAGACAAACATTCCAATGATATTAAATTTGACACACATAAATCTAGTTATTTAGAAGAGAAAATTTTAAAGTCTTACGGAGATAAGATTATTATTGAAGCTTTGCCAGTAAACATAAGAAACAAAGTAATTTATAAGCGTAATATTGACATATGTAATTTAATCCACTCATCAGCAGTAAAAAATAATTCAGAAAAATATCGATTGCGTGATACAGCATACGAATTGCGTAATAGTATCAAATCTTTGCCTAGCAAAAAACGTCCAAATACATTAACTACAGATGACATATTTTCAGGAGAATGTGATATACCTGAAGTATTATATGATTTTATAAGTGCACTTGTTGAAGGACCCGACGTAAGAAGACAAAAGACTAATGATGACGATGTGAGAATAAAATCACTATGTGAAGATATTATCTTTATTGTGACAAAAGGCAGGATAAAGCCACCAAAACAACTCAAGCTGGGCTTAACAATTAAATCATTAACAAACAGCCGAAAAATATTAACTATTTTAAATAAACTTGGACACACTATAGCATATACAACTGCAGAAGAATTAGAAACAGAATTAACTTTTACATCGCATGAAACAAGTACGTTGATACCTTCAAATATACAATGTTGTAATAATCTCAGTACAAATGTTGCTTTCGATAACTATGATCGTTATGTGGATACTTTGAATGGTAAAGGTACTCTTCATGACACAGTAGGAATTATTTATCAATTTAAATCAAGTGATTCTCTAGAATCTACTGTATCCGATTCTGATGGAGGGCGTCAAATAAGTACAGAAGAAATACCAAAGAAGCGACGAAAATTCAAAGGAGTTCCTAGAGAAGTCCAACCCTATTATAAAAAATTTATCAAGAAAACATCATTGATATCTCTTAATGATATTCAAAAAGTTTCCCAAGATTGTTTACCATTTATACTGAATGCTAATTTAAGAGACTTAATATGGACAATTTCTTTGAATTATGTACCTGATACGCCTATGTGGGTCGGCTTTAATTGTAAGACTGTAATTGATAATAGTGAACAACAAATTGTTGATTATTTACCGCGAATAAATGGGTATCCTCCTACTTGCGTACGACCCATTTGCGTACACGGTTTTGTCCCACTTGCGTACACCGTGAGGTCATGCCTTATGGCAGGTAAAATATTATGATGCATAGTCCTACTTGCGTACACACATAAAATAGGGCCTATTATATTACTGAACAGTTTGAAAATGTTATAATTTTCTTTTTTAATGGCCACAAAATATTGCAAAATAAAAGTTGATTTCATGTATGTTAAGTTGATGCCTATTTACGAACTAAGGACTCACAAAATTACTATTATTTTCAAGTTGTCCAAAAATGTTATTTATGTTTTAAGTAAATGAAAATAATTTTATATACTCTTAATAAGTAATCAATAATACCAGGTCATTAGGGAAATTTAACATTATTCATTATTCGATAATTGATTTTTGAATTTCTTAACAGTAAAATCGTTAGTAAGTATACTACTGCCATATTATTCAGTTCAGTCGACTTATGACCATTTTTATTTCCGAAATGAATCAAATGGTTAATACGACCAAACGGAAGCCATTAGCAATTTTTAAGGACCAACAGTATCGACAACATAGAAAAAACAAACAAGAGGTTGTGACATGGTTGTGCGTCAAAGAAAAAAGTGAAAAATGCCGGAGAACATTAAAAACAGTTCTGTCAGTATCTGAGTATAACTGTAAACCAAATTTGGCACAACTAGAAGTGAAAGTTCATAAAGAAAATGTCAAAAAGCGAGCACGAGAAACTGATCAGGACATTCCAAACATTTACCGTGAAGAAACGAGACCGCTTTTTGATCATGGAATTGACTTTGTCTGCGATATTCCAATGTTGTCTTCAGTAAAGACCACTTTATATCGACACAGACAAAAAGCAAACCGACTGTCAAAAGAGCCAAAATGTGCATCGGATGTCGAAATACCTGAAAGGTCTCTTCTTTTGAACAATGAATCTTCCTTCCTGGTCGCTGATGATGGTTACGAAGACAGAATTTTAATATTTTCGTCATCGATAGGGAAGGAGATTATGTCAAACCAGAATACTTTTTTATGGACGGCACTTTTAAGTGTTGCAGTAAACAGTTTACTCAACTTTACACAATATATGCGGACATTGGAAGCAATACAGACGAGCAAAACGTAATTCCTGTAGTTTATGCACTATTCAAGAACAAAAATCGCTCTACATATGAGAGATTATTTACGATAATAAAAAGATCCACAAACTGGAAACCAACATTAGTGACTGTAGACTTCGAGGAAGCAGTGATTATAGCTATAAGGAATGTGTTTCCTAACGTTGCAATAAATGGCTGTTATTTCCACTACAATCAATGTATATGGCGAAAAGTACAACAGTTGGGCCTAGTTGTAGAATACCGGCACGATGATGAACTGCGACTACATATTCGTATGTGTGCTACTTTGTCGTATATTCCACTTGAAGATTTGGATATCAGTTGGCTAACCATTTAAGAAAATTCACCCGTTAACGAAAAACTTCAAAAGTTCTACGATTGTTTCGTGGATCAGTGGCTAGAAAATAGTATCATTACGCCAGATATGTGGAACTGCAGCAACAAGCTCCATCGTACAAATAGTCTCGTGGAGGGATGGAACAACAAGTTACATAATCTGGTCGAAAGAAAGCCTGTTTTACAGTTGATTAAACACTTAAAAGAAGAAGCAAAAAATAGTAATTTTCTTTATAAACGAAAAGAATTGAATTTGAAAGGAAAAAGAAGAAAAACAAAATACGTCAAGTTGAACATTAGAATTAATAAAATAATAGCGGCATATACAGAAACAAAAGACGTTAAAAAATGCCTAACTTCTCTAGCTTACGTCGCTAAGTTAGAGTAACCGACTGTAGGGCTCTACATTTTGTAAATATTCTGTATATACTATTTATTTTGTAAATTTTTAAAAACAAAAAACTCAAAAAAAAAAAAACTAAAAAAAACTCAAAAAAATAAAAAACTAAAATAAATACAAAAAAAAAATTTAAACACGCCAGCAAATCGCTGCCAGTTCTAAGCCTGAAAAAGTGTAAATAAAAGTTTTAAAAATAAAATTAGGTATAACTGTATATGTACGCAAGTAGGACTATATATATCGTAATATTTTTACCTGACAAGAGATGATCTAACCCGTGTACGCAAATGTGACAAAATTGACCGTGTACGTAAATAGGACGTACGCAAATAGCACTATATCGAATAAATGCCGCACCAGATCGTTCCGTAATCCGTGAGACATTGGTTTATGCTCAAAAAATTGCAAAAGAATGTAATCAAGAGCATATTATTCTCACCTATGATTTAGGAATAGCTCAGTTAGCTATGGAAATTCAAATTACGGACAGTTCTGAATTTGATAATATTTTTATTAATTTGGGTGGTTTTCATATTGAAATGGCATTTTTTAAAGCTATTGGCAAATACATCGATGGCTGTGGTTTAATATATATATTAGCAGAAGCAGAAATTTTAGCTGAAGGCTCTGCAGTGGCTTTATTGAAGGAAAACATTTTAACCATTGTTAAAGGATACATGCAGGGTCGCCGAGAGCCAGGCCGGGCCCCGGGACAATTGTCTACATCGGGCCCTGTCACAAAAAAATATTAACCAAAAACTTCGTTTAAAAAAAAAAATAAAAAAAAAAAAAATAAAAAAAAATAAAAAAAAAGTCCTCACCTCAATTGCTTCTTTCTAAAAAAAAAGTCCTCACCTCGAAAATTAATACCTCAATTGCTTCTCTTTCTAAAAAAAAAAAAGGTCCTCATCTCGAAAAAAATATTTTCTCCCTACTTCCATTACCTCAGCCAAACCAAAAACACCTGTAACCTAATAAGTTAAAACTTTTCCTGTAACTTTCAATCACATCACCTCCTCTTTCTCTTCTTATGTCAAATTTCTCATGCAAAAACAGAAAACCCTATTGTCGGGTCCCCCTTATAGCGTTGCCGGGCCCCCATTTGAGCCCGGGCCCCGGGAATTAGTCCCGGCTACCCCCCCCCTCTAGTCGGGCCTGGATACATGTCCTGATCGCGAGCTCTTCAAGCATTACATTTTAAAGAGTTTTTAAATGGACATGAAGATATTTTATTCGATGAAAAGGTTATAGATGAATTACAATTCATTCAAAATAATTCAACAGAAATGCACGAAGGTTTGAAGTTAAAACCTGAATTGAAAAATATCTTGAATAAATATCAGGATTTTCTCAAGCTAACATTAGCAGGTGAACATGGTAATACCGCTCAATATTACATGCAGTACGTAGGATTGGTCAATATATATCTTAAGTTTGAACGAAGTATTCGAACTAGTGACTTTTTATTATGTGTTTATTCACTATATAATTTCGCCAATTTGTTTTTTACATTTAATCAATCTAATTACGCAAAATGGATCGTTAAATATTACAGTAATTTACTGGAGATGAAAGACAACAATCCAAAATTATTACAAGAATTTAAACGAGGAGCATTTGGTGTAAAACGGACTCAAAGAAACTTATCAAGAGGACCAGTTGATATTACTCTATAGCAAACTATTAATGCCGATGCCGCTAATTCAATGACAGGTATTACTAATTTTACGAATTCTATATAAGCTAGACAGCGTTGGGCGTTGAGCCATAGTATACGTACCAAAATTATTTCCAAAGTAATTACAGATAACACGTAAAGATGATGTTGCACAGGAATTACAAAAAAGTCGAATACAAAAAGATCAAAAAGCCTTGAATGCAATTGTAGAATCAATAAAGCAACACATGAATCCATTTGATCCTACACTTGATAAAAATCAACTATTTAATTTAGCAACTGGAAGAGCAACCAAAATAGAAATTTGTGATTTTCTCTTAAATGCAAGTACTGTAGGTGAAAAAGAGAAAATAAAATTTATTAAAGACTGCAACACAGATGAAAAATGCTTTGGGCATATTGAATTTTGCATCTGATTGTTTAAAAAAGAAACAAAAAAGTGGAGGAAAAGAAATAAAAATAAAAATGGAGCGAGATATATTTGGTAAACTTCTTTCTATTGCCCTTAAAGAAAAAATTAACATGGCGAAATGTTTGACTTATCCATTAGCACCTGCACCTCCATCTCTTTGTCAATATACTGGAGAAATGATAAAAACTGATAAATCTACTCTCGCTCAAAAGTTAAAGTCTCAAATTGAATTTTCCGAAATGACTGGTATGGATGTGGATTTGATCGATGGATTTTATCTGTTACACGTTTTGACAGCATCAATGCCTCAAACATTTGGAAAAATTTCAGAATTAATTCTGACAAGAATTTGCAATAGAAAAGTTCATATTATATTTGATCGATACTTTAATCGTTCAATAAAAGACACTGAAAGACATAACAGAGAAGAAATAGATATTCCTTACACAATTTCTGGCCCATCACAGAAACGGCCTATTGATTTTGCAAACATTTTGAAAAATAAAAAATTTAAAGAAGCTTTAAATAAATTTTTATTTAGTGATTGGGAAAATGAAAAAAGACAGTTCTTCAAACTGTACGCGTCACCCCTGACCCCTGGGTCACCACCTTCGATACGTTCAATTCTTTTTCCAAACTTGTCCGATCTTTCGCATATTTGTTTTGTTTTTTGCACAACGTACGCCACCCAGGTGAAAAAATGACAGGAGCCCTTAATACTAGTGAAATTGATAATTCGTTAAAATTCATTTTATCTAAAATTCAATCCAGTTATTTTAGTACAGAAATTACTAGTTTACAAAATCAAAAGCCTTTAGCAAATAAACAAATACGATCATTAAACCCTTTTATAGACAATCAAAACTTAATTCGAGTAGGAGGAAGGCTTAAGCACTCTGACTTACCTTATGACCACAAGCACCCTATCCTATTGCCGAGTAAATGCAAGATCACATCTCTAATTCTCAAATCAAACCACATCCGTTTGGGTCACAGTAGCCCTCAAAATGTTCTTTCAAATGTTAGATTGCGTTACTGGCCACTAGATGGCTTGCGAGAAATAAAACGAATTATTTCCAAATGCACAACTTGTCATAAATTTCATTCTCAGAAACATTTTTAAATCATGGCAGATCTCCCTTCTTATCGTATTACTCAGGCTTGACCATTTCAAAGGGTGGGCGTCGACTTCGGAGGACCTTTCCTCATTAAGTCTTCTACTTTAAAAAAGGCCCCCATTCAAAAATTTTACCATTCGCTATTTGTATGCATGGTCACAAAGGCTGTTCATTTAGAGCTAGTTTCTGACCTTACCACCGAAGCCTTTTTAGCAGCGTTAAAACGCCTAATTGCCCGTCGAGGGTGCCCAACACTCATTTACAGTGACAATGCCACAAATTTTCAAGGAGCCAAAAATCAGCTCAGAGATCTTCATCAATTTCTAGTTAATGACGATAATATGAAGTCAATCCAGTCTTACCTTCTTGCCACTGAATCAGAGTGGAAGTTCATTCCTCCACATTCACCACATTGGGGTGGATTGTGGGAATCTGCAATAAAAAGTGCAAAATACCACCTTGTTAGGCTCATGGGAAACTCTATTTTCACCTTTGAACAACTATCAACTGTGTTCTCACAGATAGAAGCCATCTTGAATAGTAGGCCGCTTTACCCCTTATCAAACGATCCTTCAGATCTCAACTCACTTACACCAGGACATTTTCTTATAGGCGCGCCTTTGATGTCCTTTCCAGAAAAAAATCTTGCCGAGATTCCTTCCAATCGCCTTAAATTTTGGCAAAAAATATTACGCACAATTTTCGTCAACTCCATGTGGCAAAATGCCACAAAACCTCAGTGTATTCAACTTGATCCTTTTAGTACAAGGTAATTAGCTTATTCAAACTAAAAACAAAATATAAAGCTAAAAATTTGTTTTAAGGTACATTAGAGGTAACTTAATAAAATGTTATAGCCTTGCAGCTTGTGCGAGATGGTGGACAGCTGCCATTGACCGCCATATTGGAAGTTATAAAAAAAATTGTTCCATAAACATTTTTTATTTTAAAATTAAATTACAATGAAATGAATTATTAAAAATGTGGCAAAAATGCTAGGAAGGAACTATTTTCCAATTATTTCAAGCGCCACCATATGCTTTTGGTTTAAATCGAACCAAATTAACCTAAAACAAAAGAAAACTTCGTTGATCTGCTTGAAATCTGAACAGTTTAGTTGGATAATCTGGATGGCCCAGGTTCGTTTGGATCAGTAATATAATTCTCTTCTAAGGAGCATTCTTGTACCTCCGACTGTTCTTCCTCGTCAACTACCATGGAAGGTATGTTGCTGCATGCTTCACCATTGCATTTTCCACACATTGGGGTACATGGCGACAGTCAAATCTTTGGGCACAGTCCGTTTTACAGTTACAAAAAACCAACTTCAATATGGTTTCGGGAGCCAGAGGTTCTACTGTAGGAACCGGCAACAGTTGTTCCTCTTTTTTCATCCATCCCCACTCAGTAGCAGGAAGTTGGACCCCACGCCAAGACTGAACTTGATGAAAAACTCTGTAGCTGTGTTGTTTTGCTGCTCCAGATATTGGTGGTAGTACTGACAGATCAAACTTTCCATAAACTGGTTGTTTAGCTATAACCTTTTTATAACAGTTGTTTTGCTTAAGTCATCTAAAGATACGTGACCGTTATATAATAATTTTAAGAAATACTCTCCGGCGTGAGCAATATCTTCTTTAGTTGTATTTATATCATTGAATGCCGAAACCTTTTGCCTTAATGACTGGTTCGATTGCAAAAGTTTAAAAGCTTGTTTTTTGCCTTTCTTAAAAAGGGAAGAAGTTGTATCGCAACCTGTAACTGCATGGAGAAAAGCAAGGGCTTCTTGGAGTAGGTTGCTATTAAATACTTTTTGTAGCCTAAACTTTGTTGCTGGAATTAACTTAAAACATTCGTTATTACTTCTTACTACAGTTATCATTATGACCAGGAGATCAGTGTCTTCGCCGACTATAACTTCTTTCTTATTTTCAGTACAAAATGTGACAGCTGTATTCACGATGTGGGTATCGGTATCTCCAGGAGAAATTTGAACTTTAAATTTAGCAGGTTTTACGGCCAAGAATGAAATAAAGTTAGTTTTGTTGGAGGTATTTTTCAGAAATTCTGACTGCGTACAAGAAGGAAAAATTGAATCACTTACAACAATATCCACGGATTTCTTAGCTTTATTTGTTCTTCTAATATGTTCTGCATTCTTCGTACCGTACTCACTTTCATTGTAGCCATCAAAAACAATAGTACTTTCAGGGCCATAATGTCTTTTAATATAGTCGATATAACTGTCACATATTTGGGAAAATGAAGCAGGTTTTGGCCAAACTACTCTATGCAAAAGGTAACCACCGTCTATCACAAAACAAGGTTCTAAAGGTAATTCCACAGCTGTTGGACAACATTCCTCTATGATACCAATTAAAGATGACTTTTTCCTTTTCTCTGTGAAATAGAATCAAACAGAGATGTTGGCCGTGGAACTAATTCATACTTTAAACATGACTGCAGTTCTTCGTCAGACTTTACGGTACAAAGTATTCGATGGAAGAGTTGATTGGAATTAATATTAATTTCTTCATTGCCGACGTTTATTGTTTTCATAACAGCTGCCATGTTTTTCACCTTATCTTTGCGCAAGAACGTTGCTTTATTAAAAGATTTTCCAACAAACTTGTTTTGATTTTCGTTAGATTCCTGCTCTTTCTCTTTTATACGCCGTATATACATATATCTACATTTCGTATGTACTTCCACAGAGTCTTTGTTTTCGAGCAATATATGCACATTATCATTTCAAAGAACACTCATCCTTTTAATATTTTCAATTCCTTTTTGTACTTTAACTATTTGTCCACCAATTAAAGTTTTCTCACACAAAACACAAACTTCAGAAGTTTCCATATTAGGAAATCAAAAACAGAAAGTTATTTCTAAAAAAAATTAAAAAAAAATCTGCGTTATTCGAAAACGCGACTAGACTGCACGTTCAGAAACTGACTGATAAGAAGCGCCGCGAGCCGTCTGCCGTCTCTTGTTTCCATCCCTCCCGCGTCCCCACCACACGGCACACTCTGCAACACCAGAAATTAGGAATTGCTATACTAAAATAAACTCATACAAATTTTTAGCTTTATATTATGTTTTAAGAAATCTTCACTAATAATTGGCTAATTACCCTGTACTATTTGGAATGTGGATGGCAATTAAATGAAGATAACAATGCATATGAAATAAAGTGGTTTGAAGGCGATGCAATGCCATTAACCATCGAATAAATTTTACAGCATGATAAAGAAGAAACTATTCCAGATGATGAAGATTTGTCATTCGAAAATCGTGGTATTTATTCAGAAGACGAGAGTGATGATTAATTTAAAATAAAAATTATATTTATTATCAAGAATTTAAAATTTAATAACATTTTTTTGTTACTTGTTCTGTTGTATTTTCATTTATTTTAATAAAATAAATTATGTTTATAACTTGTTTATTCTTTAGTGAAGGACGTGAAAAAAGTATTTTTTGGATGACAAAATTACGCTCGTCTTCGTACATTCCCGTAACAAGCCTTAAACTCATATCGAAACATCGATTACATAGTAACAAATACGAACTAAAAAACACGATTAATAAACAGTACATTGGTTATACTAGTAGGACATTTTTAAGACCATAAATCTTGAAAAAAAAAAAAAGAAATGATCTTGGGCTCCTTTTACTATTATACAACAATTGCCCTCTTTGTATTATATAAGATTTGCTAACTTAGAACCTAAGAACTTTAGAAAACTTTTTTAACCTTCACAAAATCATTTTTAATAAAATTGAAATAGAATTTCATAAACAATTCTAAAATCGATCTGTTTGTTTTATGTACAGTGATGAGAAACTATTTTTATATGATTCTGTTGTAAAATATGCTTCAAAA